CCTCCTCCCCCCTTCTCCTCCTCCTCCTCCTCTTCCTCGCACTGGTATATTTCAGTGAAACCTGAAGAGGTGGAAGTAGCCTTGGTTGGGGACCCTATTCCTTTCCTGTTCCCCCTTGTTTATTGGAAGAAGTTTTTTCCACCCTGGACTATTGGAAGCACATCTGCACTAACTCCCGCTGAGAGCTTCTTCCTGGCTGTGTTTCTATAACTTGCCCTTGTCCCTTCTGTGCACAGGATCTTCTCTCTGACACCATCTTCACCCCCAGCAGTCAGAGTTCACCTTTCCCTTTGTCTTACTTTCACTGTTCTTTGTGGTGGCAGTGCCAGTGCTAGAAGGCCCATTTTCTCTTCCCCCAAGGTAGTGATGTTGCTGTCCAGGACAGCACGTCACTGACATGAGAACTTCACGTCACTGGTTATCTTTGGCCTTCAGCCAGCAAGGTAGTAAGCTTTCAGAACAAAGACCCAAAAGCTGCTAATAGATTCTGAGGGGGTGGATGGGAGAGGCAACCAGAAGGAAGGTGAATTTGGGTGCCTGAGGTATTAGAGCTGAAGATGATCAGTCAGAGACGGGTAGGAAGCCATCTCCATGAGCAGGCCTCTTTTAATTTGGCAGCACATGTGCATTGGAGATGGAAATTAAACCACAATGATGCTGGAGAAAACCGCTGACAATAATGATGATTACAGCTGCTGAGAAATACGGCTGGAAAAGAGACAAAAATAAAATTGGTTTAACAGTACATGAAGAATACCAACTTCAGTTACTTCCATGAACTGCTTATTATTTAGCCTAATCACTATCATTTTAGCAATCATGAATACTATTAAATGCATCAGATTTATTTGTGTGAAGTTTATTTGATTATAGTGTTGGATTCTGTTTTTGTCAGCTCAGTCATGATAGTCTGTACTTACGTTGATGGATCACTATTATAATTGACCTACCCTTTCACTGTAAGTTCATAGTTCTAGTTCTTTGGGGAAAATTTGACCTTTCTAAGATTAGGCAGTCTGCATATCTACATCTCAAGTGGATATTTGGTTATAAAGACCATAAATTTATCAGCAGAGCAGGCAGCCATTAGACAATAGCATGATTTTTCTTTTCCCTAGTCTGTTCTTGGGACACCTGTATTTATATTTGCATACTTCTCTGTAGTATGTCTCCATGCTGAATGAAGCACTGATGGTCTTACCTAATCCCAGTGAGGAAAGGTGAGAAGTGAGTGAAAACCTTGCAGAATACAGAATAACCTAATAAAAGGGCTTGTTTTATTTTCTCTCTCCTTCCTTCCTTCCTTCCTTCCTTCCTTCCTTCCTTCCTTCCTTCCTTCCTTCCTTTTTTCCTTCCCCCTCCCTCCCTCCCTTGTGTTCTCTCTCTCTCTCTCTCTTTCTTTCTGCTTGGACTCTGGACATGGGTGCTGTCCCTCAGCTCTTCAGTCCAAGGTTAGCGTTCTACCACTTGAGCCACAGTGCCACTTCCAGTTTTCTGGTGGTTAATTGGAGATACGAATCTCAGACTTTCCTGCTGGGGTTGGCTTTGAACCATGATCCTCAGATCTCAGTCTCCTGAGTAGCTAGGATTACAGGCATGAGCCACTGGTGCCCAGCTGAACCTAGTGTTTTCTATGTGAAATTGTAGTCACAAGAGGTTCAGAAGGCTTGGTTGGAAAACCAAACCTTGGTTGTTAGTTTATGAGATGAGGATTCAAGGAAAGAATTTGAGCAGAGGACATTCCAAAGCCATATGTGAGTGTCAGATGATGTTTGTTAATGGTTAAAAGATGACCTGTAGTGTTGACTTACTAGCCTTCATTGGACACACGGGGGATAACTTTGCTTTGAAGGAATGTTATTGATCATGTCACTATTTTGGTGTTTGGCTGAAAGTGCAGAACCTCCTGACTTTTAAATCAGAGTTTAGCTAGATTAGGGGAAGTGATTCTTTTTCTGTCCAAGATCCAGCCCCCCTCCATTTCAAAGGTACATGGTAAAAATTCCTTTAGCAGTGGTTGTTAGTTTGGAGAGTGAATATTTAGGATATCTTTGGAATTCCTGCTTATTCAGTTTGTATACCAAAGGTATATATGCTAGGTGCTCACAGTAATGTTTTAAATGGTTTGTAAATTTTCTCTCAAGAAATATCAGAGAGCTGAGTGTGGTGGTATATGTACTAAGGCATGTGGATTGTGAGTTTGAAGCCCACCTGTTCTATATATCCAGATCTTATAAAAGTAACTTTAGGCCTCAGTTTAGGAGATGAGTACATGTTTAACATGCTCAATCCCTATCACTATCCTCCAACCAAAAAAAAAAAAAAGAAAAACGAAATCAGTAGATTGTAGTAATAATAACCTATTGAGTGTGCCCAGTGAGATATCTGCTCTCAGTCTTTCTCCCAGACACAACCCGCTGTCAGTATATGTGGGGGTTGGTTTCAGCATCTCTCCATCTAGGCTACCACAATTCACGATCAAGTCCTTTATATAATATAACAGTGTTTGCATATTACATGTGTACATCCTCAAGTATACTTTAAATCATCTTTAGATTAGGTATCATAACAAATGTAATGCAAATGCTAAGTAGATACCCCCAGTAGAATCTGGGATTCCTTTCCTATTACTCTGCTTATTTAACTCTCATATACTGTACTGTTTGTCTCCTGTGTTGGAAATGTTGTGATAGGGTTGTGTGTCTGTGTGTGTGTGAGAGAGAGAGAGAGAGAGACAGACAGAGACAGAGACAGACAGAGACAGAGACAGATAGACACAGACAGACAGAGAAGAGAGACAGACAGAGACAGAGACAGATAGACACAGACAGACAGAGACAGAGAATGAGACAGAGACAGAGACAGAGCATACCAATTCTATATCTTAAACTCAGGACCTCATGTTCTCACTTGGAGTGGCATTTTTGCTCATAGCTGGCACTCTACCACTTGAGTTGCATCTCCAGTTCTAAGTTTAAAAATACTTGAATCATTAAATTTGAACAACACACTGTTAGGACATGCAATAATTTCCTCCCGAAGTATTAACTATCCAGTGTATTGATCAAAAGCAAAAAGATAGATATCTTCTTTGCCTGATTTAACCAAACAGAGTAGGGTGATCATGTAAATTATCATCTGAAAATAGCCATGTGTTGATAATGGGAATAAACTATGTCTGGCAGCTAGGTTATACCCAGCTACTTGTCTTTGTCCTTCATGCGTCTTTGAAAAATATTACAACAATTCTTCATGTTTTCCACTTACAGGGGGATTCCTCAATGTCAATGTAAGTGAAGTCAGTTTTGATGAAGTTCATCAGCTCTTCTCCAAGGATTTAGATATTGAGCCAGGAGGTCACTGGAGGCCTAAAGACTGTAAACCAAGATGGAAGGTGAATTATTTTTATCATAAGAAATGTGACTATTGCTTTGTAATTGGGATAAAGAATGAAACATTGTTTAAGTATTAAATATTTACAGTTCCAGTGTGATTGATAATGTTATCAGTACTTTTTAAGTTCTGGCAAAAAAATAATACGACATGAGTTTGACTTGGGAAACAGATTTCCATTCTTTTTTGTTCTGCTGTGCTTGGAAGAGAGGTTGTGAGTCCTCTGCCCCCTGCAGATATCTCTAATGACTATTGACTCCTGCAGGCAAAGCCCCGCCGGTTTGTGAGAGCTGGAAAGATACTAATATCTGGATTTTCAGCTGGGTCCAGCATTGGGGTTTTCAAGCTCTGTTTCTCATATTTAGTATTCTAAAGTGCCCAGTGGTCACTGAAGGGCTCGAAAGGGGGGGCGCCTCTGGGCTCCTCACATGTGTTTCCAAAGAGAGAGCACAAGCCTTTGGTTTTAAAAATAATTTTTTTTGTTATCTTTAAGTAGTTGTGCAAAGGACTTTCAATTCAGCATGTCAGTTTCTGAGTACAATACATCTTGATCAGTGTCACCCTTTTCTTCATTCTCTCCAGCGTTCTGTTCAATATTTTATTTGAAAAATATTGAAGGGGGTCAACCTCTTGTAAAGTTAAGAAAATTATTAAAGCCATGATTTGAATAGAGTTGCTCTCAATACTGTGAAATTAATAGTATAATTTTATGTAATGCTGTTCTAATTAAATAGAAAGTAGAACTTGCATAATGCAGATGAAAGTATAAAAGATTAAATCAAAATGTTATGTCCTAAAGCATTGTGCTATAACTGTAGTCTGGAAATAGTTTTCAGTTTGTGTTATAAAATATTCATATTCTTTGAACGTATTTGTATGTTAACATCAACAAAATCCCTGGCAAGGAGAACTATATATTGTTAAACCTGACAAAAGTCCTCTGACTTCATTGACCTTGAATGCTTAGTGTTCAGGGATGTGTGTAATTCCTGTCTGCATCTCCAGTGCACAGAATATTGCTTTGTGTAGGGTAAGCACTAAACAGAGTTTTGTTGAGTTGACTTTTTGAGGCTAATAAATGCCTTTTTGGCTTTGTTGCAAGTGATTAAACAAATGCTCAGCTTTCTCATGGCCTCAAACAAGTTACAAAGCTGCCTCAATGACTTTCAGTACATATTTTGTTTTATAATTGCTTTATGCTGTTTCCCAGATCAGATTCATTTGGTAAATTAAGCTTTTCATACCTCTTTTTTTAAAAATTTTTTTAATTGAATTTTATTTTATTTGTGAACATACTGTACAGAGGGGTTACAATTGCATGGGCAGGATAATGCGTACATTTCTTACCAAGCATTGCAGCC